AAAGAAAGAAAGAAAGAAAGAAAGAAAGAAAGAAAGAAAGAAAGAAAAAGAAAACATAGAGGGAATGGAAGCAAGTACTGTTGGATGATGATGCATGGAGGAAATTGTAATCATTGTAATAAAACAATGGTGTAAAACCGAAAAAAAACAAACCAGATTGCTAGAAGAATAAAAAAATCAGTGTTGGAAGAAGTACAAGAATGCTCCTTAGAAGCCAAATGGCCAGACTTCATCTCTCATACTTTGGATATATTGTCAGGAGGGAACCAGTCCTTGGAGAAGGACATCATGCTTGGTAAAGTGGAGGGTCAGAAAAAAAGGGGTAGACTCCCAATGAGATGGATTGGCATAGTGGCAGCAGCAATGGGTTCAATTGTAACAACAGTTGTGAGGTTGGCACAAGACTGCGAAGTTTTCATTCTGCTGCGCATGGGGTTGCTATGAGTTGGAACCTATGTGAAGGCCCCTAAAAACTACAACGATCACTTTTCAACAACATAAAGGCAAGTATACACATGGACCTCACCAGATGTAATACAAAGGACTCAATCAAACTGACTTAATCTGTGGAAAGAGACAATGGAGAAGTTCTGTGTCATCAATCAGAACAGGAACAGGGGTTTACAGTGGAACACACTACCAATTGCTCATACGTAAGTTCAAGTTGAAACTGAAGAAAATTAAAACAAGTCCATGAGAGCCCAAGTATGACCTTGAGTAAATCTCCTCTCTATTTGGAGTTTATCACAAGAATAGATTTGATGTGTTGAACACTAATGACTGAAGGACAGACAGTAGTGGAATGACCTCAAGGCCATCATATAAAGAAAGAAAAATGCCACTAAAAAGATAGGGAGGAAAGAAAAGACCAAAATGGATGTCAGAGGAGACTCTGAAACTTGCTCTTGCAGGGCTCCTTAAATGTACAGTAACTAAAGCAAATGGGATAAATGATGAAGTTAAAGAGCTAAGCAGAACATTTCAAAGTACAGCGCAAGAAGACAAAGTAAAATATCATGATGAAATGTGTAAAAACCTGGAGTTAGAAAACCCAAAGGGAAGAACATGAAGGGCATTTCTTACACTAGAAGAACGGAAGAAAAAATTTAAGTTTTGAGTTGCTACACTAAGGGAGTTTATGGGCAAAATACTGATGACACAGAAAGCATAAAAAAAAAAAAAAAAAGATGGAAAGAATACAGTCACTGTTTCAGAGAGAGTTAGTCGGTGTTCAATCTTTTCAAGTAGTAGCATATAACCAAGAACAGTTGATATTGAAGAAAGAAGTAACTCTAAACTGCACTGAAGGCATCGGTGAAAAACAAGGTCCAGGAATTGGCAGAATGTTTCAATAACGAATGCAACACTGGAAGCTCTCATTCATTCCATGAAATTTGGCCAATCAACTGGAAGAGATCCATGTTTGTGTACATTTCAATGAAGGGTGATACAACAAAATGCAGAAATTAGCAAACAATATCATTACTATTACAGGTGAATAAAATTTTGCTAAAGGTAATTAAAAACCATTTGCAGCAGTACATCAACAGGGAACTGCTAGACATTCAAGCTGGATACAGAAGAGGACATGGATTGAGGGATATCATTACTGATGTCAGATAGCTCTTGGCTGAAAGCAGAGAATACCAGAAAGATGCGTACCTGCATTTTATTGACTATGCAAAGGCAATTGACTGCATGGATCATAACAAATTATGTATAACATTGTGAGGAATGGGAATTCCAGAACAGTTCATTATGTTCGTGTGGAAACTGTACATAGACCAAGACGCAGTCATTCAAACAGAACAAGGGGATATTGCATGGTTTAAAATCAGGAAAGATGTAGGACAGGGTTGTATCCTTTCACCAAATTTATTCAAGCTGTATGCTGAGCAATAATACCAGAATCTGGACTATACGAAGAAGAACACAGCATCAGGGTTGAAGGAAGATGCATTATACAGAACCTGTGATATACAGATGACACAACCTTGCTTGCTGAAAGTGAAGAGGACTTTAAGCATTTACTGGTGAAGATCAAAGACTACAACCTTCAATATGGATTACACCTCATCATAAAGAAAACAAAATTCCTCATCACTAGACCGATAAGCAATATCATGATAAATGGGAAAAAATTACAGTTGTCAAAGACTTCATTTTACTGGGATTCACAATCAACACCCATAGAAGCAGCAGTAAAGAAATCAAATGATGTATTGCATTGGGCAAATCTGCTGCTAAAGACCTCTTTTAAGTGTTAAAAAGCACATATGTCAGTTTGAGGACTAAAGTGCGCCTGACCCAAGCCATGGTATTTTCAATCACCTCATATGCATGCAAAAGCTGGACAACGAATAAAGAAGATTGAAGAAGAGTCGATGTCTTTGAATTATGGTGTTGGCAAAGAATATTGAATATACCATGGGTTGCCAGAAGGCTTTGTCTTAGAAGAAGTACAGCCAGAACGCTCCTTAGAAGTGAAGATGGCAAGACTTCATCTCATGTACTTCAGACATGTTATCAGGAGGGACCATGGAGAAGAACACCATGTTTGGTAAAGTAGAGGGTCGGCAAAAAATAGTAAGACTCTCAAGGAGATGGATTAACACACTGGCTGCAAAAATGGGTTCAAACACAGCAACGGTTGTGAGGATGGTGCAGGACCAGGCAGTGTTTTGGTCTGCTGTGGATGGGGTTGCTGTGATTGGAAACTGGCATGAAAGGACCTAACAACAAAAATGTCAACTTGCTAATCTTTTCCCCGGCCCAGGACAACTCTGGAAGAAGCCTGTCTCTTACATTTCCTTTCCCATTCACCTACTCATCTATCTCAGAAACAAAAATGCACAGATGTCAAGGGAAATAAGTAAATCCCTAGTTGTTGTTAAGTGCCGCAGAGTTGATTCCCACCCATAGCAAATCTCTATAGAGTTTCCAAGGAGCAGCTGGTGAGCTTGAACCACCGACCTTGCAGTGCAAACGACTTTGCAGTCTGACGCACTAGCCCACTGCGCCCTACTCTACCACTCTTGAGACTACTTGGGGTGGACCAGCTGAGACTACCTGTCCTCTGGATACTATCTTGTCTTGGGCCCGTCCTACCCTAAGGCCATCACATCTCAAAGTTGCTTGGGGACTTGTCTGGACTACCTTTTTCTTTCTGGTGCCTTGATGGCCAGTTCCAAGTTGTTGAACCAATCTCATTGTGTGAGGTGTGAGTGAGCAAGCGGTTACCACCTCCAAGTAGGCAAGACTAGGATGCAGGTGCGGGGATCCATACCATGCCACAGGACCTGCAAACAGACCCGCACAGCTCCTAGACACCAAGAAGCATCTCCCAGCCATACATCCACAGGGATGCTGACATGGCCTCTCCTAGCCGAGGAAGCCTGGGTGCATGAGGAATGGAGGATATCAGCCTCCCATCAACCTGGGATCCCTGTTTAAAGTGACTAAAAAGAAATTAGTAAACATTGCAGTTTACAGAAATAGAAATCATTTCTGTTTCCAAAGGCCTCTCACCATTCCAGTCCTGGACATTTCCAAGACTGTCACCCCTGACACCCTCTCCAAGGTCCGCCCTGGTGGGTGGGTGAACCACCAGAGTCTTTTGAGACTGGGAGATCCCCAGGCACCTGAGATTTCCAGTTTCACATCTTCAGAACTCTGGAGAGCACCGGTTTCAGCCCTTCTCACCAGTTCCTAGGGGCTGTTTTGAGGCACCCCCTCTTTTCAGAATGAGAGATATGTGCAAGAATACCTGCTGTTTTCTCTCGCTCAGTCCCTCCCCAGAGTCCAATGTGCTTGCCACGACCCACCCTCAGAACAGAGGAACCAGTCTGTGCCTTGGTCTAGTGACGCTGGAAAAGAGTAACAGCAGTAAGAAAGCAGGAGCAACAGCGGGAGGATCCGTCCTTGAAGGGACGACTAGCAGCAATGGCAGTTCTACAGGCAGGTGGTGAGGTTGGCCCCCTGGTCGGGGCCGGGGCTGTCCACTAGGCTCGTAGGTTGGGAATCGACGACGCGGGGGTTACGACGACGCCCTCGGTACTCAATCATGTCGGGATGATAAGCAGGGTGCCGGCGGGCGTGCTTGGTCAGGTGGTCGCTGCGGGAGAACTGCTTGGGGCAGAGCGGGCAGGAGAAGCGCTTCTCTCCAGTGTGCGTTCTGTAGTGGCGGGCAAGCTCGTCGGAGCGCGTAAACTTCTTGTCGCAGTCGAGCCAGTCGCAGGAGAACGGGCGCTCCCCCGTGTGGGTACGCTGGTGGGACTTCAGGTGCGACGACTTGTAGTAAGCTTTGGTGCAGCCCGTGAAGGGGCAGCGGTGTCGCTTGGCAGCAGGTGTGACAGGCCGCCTGCGGGGACCAGGACCCCCAGCAGGGGTGGGGCCGGCTCTCGTGGCCCCCGCCGTCCCGGGACGGGAGCCGGAACCGGAGCCGGAGCCTGGCCTCGAACCTGTGGCCGAGGAGCGCACGGGGCCGGAGAGCGCGGCCTCACCCGTGGCCGGGGCCAGTGGGC